ATTTCTTCAACCAAACTCAGCTCATTTCCACCTAGGGAAAAGGCACCTGATAAAGCAAAATCAGTGCAACAGTTTACCCCTCTCAGAAGAGAGCAGACCAACCGCTCCATCTCTCTTCCCTTTGCCAGCACCTTATTCTCCCTGCCAAGCACTCACCCCTATTCACTTGTGTCTGGTCGGGCATCTCTTTTGATCAAAGCCAAATCCAATGGGACTTGCTAAATTGTCAGAACCCCAACTCAGCAAAACCCAAACCAGAGTCAGTGTCAGGGGAACACTGGGGCAGGGCAGCTGAGACATTTGATTTCATTCTCTCACATTCTCTCACTGTAAAAACAGTGCAAAACAGTGGCCGGGCGGATGCGGGGATGCGGGTGATGGGTGCAGGTCCATACACGGGGGTGCAGCTCGTGTCAGGCCTACAGGAGCAAAGGAGATAAGGAAAAACAAGGTGGAATAAACCAAGACTGAATTCAGTTCATGCGGCAGAAGTCTCATCACAAACCTTCTGCCCTTGCTCAGATCCTGGAGGTGCTCTGCCCTTCTCTGCAGCCAGCCTTCAGGCAGTGAAGCCGCTGTGCATGGCATTGCCTGGGAGTTGAGGGCAGGTTCAACTGACCTAACTTGAGAAGTCCCTCCCTAACTCCCTGTGGGGTCACGGGAGCTTCCCTGCAGTGCGGTTCCGCTCCTCTGCAGTGACTCTACGTGGACTCAGGGTGCACAGGGAAGAGAGAAGCCACATCCCACTGACAGCAGTGACTTCTGGCTTTAGAGTGGGGGAAAAGACAAACAGGCTGCTCCTTCGTAGGAGGGATGCTCTGTTTTGGCAATCTTTCGAATGGTTGGAATTGCAGAATGAGAAATACATAGAGTGATGCCTCATATTCCCCAGTGTAAACACCCACAGAGCCCACCCTGAGCAGGACAACCTCCTCCTCAGCCACCTCCTTCCAACACTTACCCAGCACGCTTCCTTGAGCCTCATCCTGGCTTCTTCCTTCTCTGGCTTTCCCTTTTTGCTGTATCACTGCACCCATTAACCTCCACCTCCTTCCCATTCATGTCTCCCTGGGATTAAATGCTCAGAGCTTAGAGTAATCCATCCTCTGCCAGTCTGTCTACAGGGCAAGCTTCTTCTTGCCTTCTCTGCCATCCATCTACTCACTGGCACTTCCTTTTCCTGCTGCGGTGTCTCTGCCAGGCTCCCTACCCTCCTTCAGTGCCCAGTTAGCAACGACGTGGGACAGGACTTGTTGAGCCCCTAGGAAAGTGGCTCAGGTCCCATCTCAGGGACCTCAGAAGAAATTGGTCTCTCTGCTCCTAAAGGCTGGCCTGTGCCAGCACCCTCCCAGGGAAGAGCTTCTGCCTAAGAGCTCATCTCAGTCCCCTCTGGCAGGTTAAAGCCATTCCCCTCGTCCTGTCCCTACATCCCTTGTCCCAAGCCCCTCTCCAGGTTTCCTGCAGCCCCTTTAGGCACTGGAGCTGCTCTCAGGTCTCCCCTTCAGGAGCCTTCTCTTCTCCAGGCTGAACAAGCTCAAGATAATGGGGCTTTTCATTTGACTTAATGCAAATGTAGCCTGGGATGTGTTTCAGTAGCTACTTCAGCATCAGTGTGGATTGGAGGCTAAAATAAAACAACACCAGCACCTCCCTGTGTTCCTCAGACCCTAAGCAGCTCCTCAGCATCCCTTTGTAGCATTCATTTTTCAGCTATACCTGAGAAATCATCGGTCTCATCTCTCAAAATAAAAGCACATGCAATAAGAGCACCTCTCCCTTCATCTGGGATTACAGGCAGGGTACACGGCGTCCACCCCTCAGAGCACTCCTCAAAGGATCATTTCATTAAGTGCTTTCTCCTCGGTTCCTTCTGGAAACAGCCAACATTCCTCCACAATCGGAGCAGGGTGCCAAGTTCCCAACCCGCCGGTGCCATGTGCTCCGGAACAACACGGGTTGATCACCCTTGGTCTTTCCAAGATCCTCTCCTGGGGCACTGCCCATCTCTGGGAAGATGCTCGTGTCCTGCAGTGCTTAGAGGAGGGATTAAGCCCTCCTAAGCAGAGGTTGCTGGTAGAGGGCTGTAGGTAGGACACAGCTCGTGGATGGAGGCACCACTGGGTTGCATGAATCACAGAATCAGCTGGGTTGGAAAGCTAAGCTCATCCAGTCCAACTGCTCCCCAGCACTGGCACTGAGGGGCCAATTGTGGCCAATAAATAAGTCACCCAGGACCTAGAGGCACTGAACTACCCTGAGCTGTCCCTCTGGGAGAGCTCTCAGAAGGATGCTTAACCTAGTTCAAGGCAGCCACAGGTCTGGGAGTGATTCCCAGATGGACTTTGGCCTTTGGGAAGGTTTTAGGAAGGTTTCTAGGCCTTAAGGGAGAACCTTAACTGGGGAGAACCTGGCCCTGTGGGCTGCTGAATTTTGGGCAGATCACGGCATTCATACACACACCAGGAGGTGGTTTTCAAACACACCAGCTGGGAAAGGAAAAACAGCTTCCTCTGTTCAGGAGGCCACATCACACCGGGGTGTAAAGTCTACAGACTTTCCAGGGCAGTAACAGAGAAATACATCCCTGCGTCCAGGCTGATGGCCATGGGACTCACCCGTGCCCAAGGGATCGGCCTCTGATGCTTTGCCACGTTCATCTGTTCTTATGAAAAGAATGAATTTCCTACCTGTTTTCGTAGGATTGCAAAGTCTGGTGGGGAGTTTATGGCATTGGTGGCATCTCACAATGGGGACACAAGTGCCTATTCCACAGAGAAGCTTGAAACTCAAGACACATTCAGTAGAGATTCAACTGTGGGTGATTTATGAGCAAAGGCTTGGGATTCATTAAAGCTCCCCGGTTCCCGACTCAGCTGCGACGTTCCTTATTTGAACTCTGCCATCCTTTTGTTCTCCATATTCAGTCAAGACCTGGCATTTCTCAAGCTCCTATGTGCATATGTATTGCATGCTTTGACTTGCAACAGCTTCCCTCTTGCTTTCCTTGATCTTCAGGCAAACCCAAGAACTTGTGTCTTGCCCTGTTCACAAAGGGCTGCTGTCAGCAAATTGTAAGAATTAAAAGATATGAATATTACACCAGCTATAACCCCCCTTCACAGGTCAGAGTCAGCAACTGCAGGTACTTCTCTGCATCAAAGCTGGGGTGAATTCACGATCTCTGAGCTTAAAGTGAACGTCTGCCACTTGGTAAAGACCCCTTGAGCACTGCATCAGGCTGAGGTAGACAGCCCCAGTGCACCAAGACAAAACCAACAGGGTCTGGCTCTCCTGAGAGGCTTGTGTGGACCCCACGCCTCTGCTTGCACTGATTTTGCACAAGCCTTTAGTTACCTGTAACGCAAGCGTGTGAGGAGGCCTCTGCTAGGAAGGGGAAAAGGGCAAAACTGGTGCGAACTGGGAAGGGCTCATACAGCACTAAATGGAGAGAAGGAGCCAGCAGGAAAACTCCTGGATCCCAATGTGCGTTTCAATGCATCACCCTTTGGCCTCCCAGCGCTGCAAACCAGAGGGGGTCCCAGCTTCTACAATCGTCCCTTTAAAACAGAACATGGCCCAGAACTGGAAAATGCCAAATATGCCTAAAAAGAGCACAAAGAGAAACCTGCGGGCAGAGGAAGTTTTCCTCCAGGACAACGGGTGGCAAACGAGAGCTCAGCTGGGACCTGGCTTTCTCCTGCTGATCCCGAGTTTTCCCAGTGCGCTATGAGAGTTGCAGGGATCGAGACGGGGCATTGCCAAGGCGTTCGAGGGCCCAGGCAGGAAGGATGTTTGCCCTGTAACACGATGAAGCAGGGACCTGAGGTGCAGGGGGGAAATGGTGTGGTTCAAGGGTCTCATTTCTACCAGGTCCTTGGAGCCCTCAAGGAGCGCTGCTGGCCGCGGCTCTCGAGGTGTTGGCAGGAGGAGCTGTATTGAGTTGATGCTGAGACCAAGGGAGAAGATGACAGCGTTAAGGCTCCCCAGCACTTACAAAGAGTAATAGAATCACACAATGGTTTGGGTTGGAAAGGACCTTAAGATCAACCAGTTCCAACCCCCTGCCATGGGCAGGGACACCTCACACTAGACCACATTGCCCAAGACTCAGAGCCAAAGGAAGTCTGGTACTTCCAAACCTACGTGTTCTGTAGGCAGAGGGGAAAGAAGAAATGTCCCAGCAGCTTTTGCCTTCACTGGCAGGAACCTTCTTTTAGTTCACCCTAAAAACTCTTTTTCATGTACCTTGGACACGTATCTATCCATATATCTCTTTTCTATATACCTAATCTGGCCAAACTCTGCCACTTTCAAATACTACTAGGTCTAGTTTCTCTGGATACCATGTGTCTTCCCAACCAGGGGCCCAAAGAGAAGATGGGTTCACTGGCCATCTCTGTAGGAAGGATGAAACTGAGAGGGTGGGCACAGTGTCTCCCCTGCTGTGGCAATGAGGAGATAATTCCAACCTCTTCAAGGATGCAAGGATGTGCTCACCAGAAATTGCAGTAAGAGGATCTGCACAAGAGCATTTATTCCCACAGCTTAGTCCATCCCAGACCAAGGGGAATCACACAGAGTCAACTCAAAACTGCTGGATCCACAGCTTTTCTATGTCTAGCACTATCAGATGGGAAGAAAAGGAGCCACTGGCCTGACAGTGTCAGGACTCCCGGGGGATTTAAGGGATTAAGCAGAGAAACAGATTCCCCTGCGTTTGCCATAGGCACTCAAGCTCCTCGTGTTGTGCACTGCGCTCACACACACACACACAAACCCCTCCTTTATGTGCACATCCATCTGCTCACACTTGTACAGCCAGTGATGAACGGGAGCCTCCCAGCCCAGCGGGGCTTTTGTGCTCCTGCCCTTGAGTGTGAACGCCTGCGTTGCGAGTTGATGCTGGGGAAACGCCTCTGTCCCCTTCTGCGGGTAAAGCTGTGGGCAGCAGAGCGGTGCCAGTTGCTTTCCCAACCCTACGCTGTCCTCTGTCCCTGCAGGTCCCTTGCACTAGGTCAGCAGTACAGCTCGCTGGGGTCCCAGCCCATCCTCTGCGGCTCCATCCCCGGCCTCGTCCCCAAGCAGCTCCGCTTCTGCCGCAACTACATTGAGATCATGCCCAGTGTGGCCGAGGGGGTGAAGTTGGGCATCCAGGAATGCCAGCACCAGTTCCGGGGCCGGCGCTGGAACTGCACCACCATCGATGACAGCCTGGCCATCTTCGGGCCAGTCCTGGACAAAGGTAACCAGCAGAGCCGGGGGGCTGCGGGCAAATAGGTTTGGTTGGGGGGGGGGAGATGTCACATCTCCCTTTGGCTTTGGATGCACCAAGGATGTCCCACGGGGAGCACGTTCTGGGAAGAGTCATCCCAGCCTTCAGTTCTCCAGTTTCTTTTTCCCAGTTTTCTTTTGGGATGCTACTTCAAAAGGGGTCACAAGGGAAGGGCCCGATCCCCTCCCAGGAGCAATCAGCAGACGAAGTACAGGAAGGGGAAGGCCTTGCCCCAAACATGCACACACGTTTCAGGATCATGGGCTCCATCCTCCCTGCCCAGGGCATGCAGCGCTTCCAAACAACAGGGAAAAAGCCAAGGAAGAGCCCTTTGAAGCATTGTCTACCCCAGGCGGCCAGTGAGAAACCATGGTGGAAAACCAAGGTCCTGATAAGGCTTAGTTGGGATTTCAACCAAAATGGTCAGGGCTGGGAAGAAGAAGAGGGAGAGGAAATGTATTTTCCCTCTCCTGTCCCCAAACACTTGCTCTTGCTCCCCTTCATCGCTTCCTCTTGAAAGACCAGCTTTCTAGACCCACTGATGAGGATCTGGCACATTGGAATCTCATTGATAAGGCACAATGAAGTCCAGATTCCCAATGAGGTCACAACCTGGGCATTACCCTGGGAAACCTGAGATGCTGGTCCCCAAGACAGATGGGGACCTGCACCTCTGCCCTGCAGCCAAATCCAGCCTCATAGGAGGGTGCTGGAGGACTTTGGTGACAGATAATCTGTCCCATCTCCAGTTAGCAATATCCAAGACCTTAGGTCAAAAAGCATTCCCATGAAACTGAACCAAATGGTGGATAAAAACCTCCCCTTCTCTCCAACCCATCCCATGGATTTTGTTGACTCCACGCTGAGTTCAGACATGCCTTGGTTCCACAGCTCCGTGTATGTAACTAAAGCCATTCCCGAAGCTTCACTGGTATCTTAGAATCCCAGATTGGTTTGGGTTGGAAAGGACCTGAAGATCATCCAGTTCCAACAATGGGGGTTCCACTAGGGAATGGTGATGCCATGAACCAAGCCTCTGTAGCCCAATGGTTATTTAATGAAAGTGAATTAGTCTTTGGAAATGGGAATCTTATGCTGTGGCCTTGAGGAAACTGGAGAAACCTGGGTTGAAAGCAGGACACGAGGCTATTCCCCAACAGTCCCTGGAGCGTGCCAATCTCCTGGGGAATCTTAGAATCACAGAACCATAGAATAGTTCGGGTTGGAAAGGACCTTAAGATCATCCAGTTCCAATCCCCCTGCCATGGGCAGGGACATCTCACACTAAACCATGGCACCCAAGGCTTCATCCAACCTGGCCTTGAACACTGCCAGGGATGGAGCATTCACAACCTCCCTGGGCAACCCATTCCAGTGCCTCACCACCCTCACAGGAAAGAATTTCCTCCTTAGATCCAATCTAAACTTCCCCTGTTTCAGTTTTAACCCATTACCCCTTGTCCTGTCACTCCAGTCCCTAATGAAGAGTCCCTCCCCAGCATCCCTATAGCCCCCTTCAGATACTGGAAGCTGCTCTGAGGTCTCCACGCAGCTTCTCTTCTCCAGGCTGAACAGCCCCAACTTCCTCAGCCTGTCTTCATACAGGAGCTGCCCCAGCCCCTGATCATCCTTGTGGCCTCCTCTGGACTTGTTCCAACAGTTCCATGTCCTTTTTATGTTGAAGACACCAGAACTGCACACAATGCTCCAGGTGAGGTCTCACAATCTTCCCTACAAAGCTCCAACATTCCACACATAAACACTTGATGCCATTCTTTGTCAGCCTTGGCACAGCTTCCTGGCACAGCAGCAGCTTGTGCCAGCGGAAGGAACTCGCTGGGTTAAAGTGTGATTCCTCGCTAAGAGGAGCCTTGAGGTTCAATCCCCTCCTGGTTTGCCAGGATGTATTTTGGGGTAGCTGCTGTATCTCCTATCAAGTCACTTGTCATCGAGGCTTGCCACGCTATAGCTTGGGGCCTGATAAAAGCACGGCCTGAACTTCAGCTCTTACAAGAGCAGGAAGTTTGAATGTTCTTAAAAACTGCCATTAAAAAAAACATCATAAACACTTGAAACACATTAGAAAAGAGCTGTTACAGCATTCAGGCGCTGCAAATCTCCCACCACCATTGCTGTCAGCAAGAAAGCGCTTGAAAGTCAGGTCTGACCCGTCCTCCCCCTAATCAGCAAAGTGAACTTTGAATTCATGAAGAATATGCAAGGATTCTTTGGGCTGCAGGGACTCGAGCAGAACCTCCTGCGTGGACATGCCCCAACACCCCCCTGCTCTCCCAGCTGACACAGCCAAACATCACCCCTAGCTCTGAAACGCCTCTGACAGATGGGGAAGAATTATTGAGCACCCTCGTTATGCAGCTCTCCCCAATCAAACCCTGATGCATCGAGAGAGCAGGGCCAGGCTCTGAGCTTGCAGTGTGTGGTTATCCTGGTGTCTCACCAACCTGTAAGGAGAACGGTTAAAAACAGACAGCAGCATCTGCAGATAACGGTATATCAAAGGCCAGCCCGCTTGGCTGGGGTGCTTAGTGACATCTTTAACTGCGCTGATGTCTTCTCACTGCTGCCTTGAAAGTCGGTGGGAGGAGAGGGGATGGGGCTCATTTCATCCATGTAGTGATGATGTCTGCAATGTCAGTAGTGCCACTCTTGAACCGTAGGGACAGGTCAAGGGAATGGCTTGAACCTGCCAGAGGGGAGACTGAGATGAGCTCTTAGGCAGAAGCTCTTCCCTGTGAGGGTGCTGAGGCGCTGGCACAGGGTGCCCAGAGAAGCTGTGGCTGCCCCATCCCTGGCAGTGTTCAAGGCCAGGTTGGACACAGGGGCTTGGAGCAAGCTGCTCCAGGGGAAGGGGTCCCTGCCCGTGGCAGGGGTTGGAGCTGGATGGGCTTTAAGGTCCCTTCCAACCCAAACCAGGCTGGGATCCTATGGCTCTATACAAACACCACCTTTCCAGCCACTGCTTCCTCAGCTGAAGGAAGAGACAACGTTGGCAATGAAAAGGCTTTTGTCCTGCCCTGATAGACCTCGTTAGCAGTGATGAATCCAGGAACCAACCCTGCTCATCACTGCCAGCGGCACTGTGGATAGTGTTGCTGGACACATCTGTTGCCTTCACAGCATCACCTTCTCCCAGGCTCCTGTCCCACTTTCCTTAGGTGCAGCACCAACAGAAACCAAGAGTTCTGAGCCCATAACCTGAAACTGAGACCTGCAGTTGTTGCCAGCTGGGTTTCATATCTGGCCCTGAGCATCTGTGACTGCTATTGCTGTGCTCCCTGTTGACTTCCAGGACCCCAGAGGGGTGTAACCCCACAAACCAAGGCTCAAACCAGACAACAATCACTATTGCAGCTTGGGCTGTGCATTAGGCCAATAGGCATTAAATACTAAGCCCAAAATAGCCAGCATTTAAGCTATGATAACTACCTGGATGAAATCACCTCTAAGTATCAAAGAGCAATATTTAGGTTAATCTCATCTACTACTCCCTTAAGTAGATTGAAGCTATTACAGAAAAAACTTCAAAGGTGCCTTTTTCATTACAATAGCATAGAAAATCACTTCTAATACAGCCTAAAAAAGAAATTGAGGATAATTTCAGTTTAAAGGAGCTGCAAAAATGTTAATCAGGGTTGGGTCCATTCACGGAGAGCTTAGTCTGAGGAGCAAGGCAATGTGGGGAAAGCTTGCAGTGCTTGGGCTGCGTGGACCTGCTGCAGCCCACATGTTCAAGCCATTCTTGGTTGCTCCTTCTGGGCTCATCGTCCAGGCTTCGAGTGCTGGTGTCAGTGTGGGAGCGTAGCAGGCTCCAGTCACCAGGTCAACCCACAGTCCCACCCCATCTCCATCGTGCTTCGCTCCTCAGCTTCACCATTCCCCCTTCGCAGCCGGTTGGTTCCCCAGGGCCACGCCGATCATTTCCCTACAAGTTTTTCTTCTTCTTCTTCTTTTTTTTTTTTTTCTGCACGTTGTTTTTTCTAACCTGGGCTCTGATTAAAAAAAAACCAACCACCAAAACCCAACCCAACCCCAGGACGCGGGGTAAGATCGTGTTTTTACAAGCAAATTCCCCGAGATGATTTATACTGCAGGTGTGCAGTCTGGGACAAGGAGGGAAGAGAAACCTGCTTTTCCCTCCCCTCTCTTCTCCCTCCCTTTTCTACTTAAAATAAGGTCAGCTCTTATTAAAGGACAAGGTCTCCTCCAGCCAAGCCCTGCCCCAAAGCCGGGTGACTTCCTGCTGCTCTGGGAGGGCGAGCAGTGAGGAAGTGATAAAGGCCATGATGTTGGTTAAAGCCCCGTGCCTGGGATGGGCTGGTTGTGAGGGCAGGAGGCAGGAAGGCCCCAGAGGCATCTGGAGAGCAACTCCTGGGATGGAGGAGAGGTCTCTGAGCCGCAGGCAGGACTGGGTCTGCAGGAGGGAGCTTGGCAGGAGCAAACTCCTGCATCACCCCCCGCAACGGGGGAATGGCTCTTCCCCTGCCTCCTCGCACCACAGCTGCCCTTTGTGTGCTCTCCTTGTCCAGGAAGATGCCACTGGTGCTCCAGAAGGGTCCTCTCCTCCCCAGCCATGGTCGGGCTCAATCCTCTTGCCATTGGCACCGGCCAGGGCAGCGCCTCGCGGTGCAAAGGAGCCAGGTGCAGAGAAGGCAGCTGGGCCTGGGCTGCCTTTGGGGGTCCTTGTGTGCTCATCTAAGCCCCTGCCACGAGCTGTGAAAAGCCAGCCCCGCGCTGAGATAACCCATGGCTTTTCTCAGCCATGACACTTGCAGTCATTTGCATCTAAACAAGGGGTGTGTGGGATCAGGGGCCGTCTTGATATAAACTCAGCAGCTTAAAGGGAAAGGGGGGAGGGAAAAGGAGAAGAGGGAGAGAGAAAAATAAGCTTATAGCGATGAGAAAGAGCTAAGCTTCCTCCCCTACTGTGAGGCCGGGCGAGCGATACCATCCCCGCGCTGCAGTCGTTTCAAATCACTGCAGCATTCACACGCCCTTTAGCCATTCTGATCCGGTGGCGGGGGGCTGGGGAGCGCCATCAATAGGGATTTCCCAGCCGGGCCGGCGGGATTGGAGGGTGACGGCAGGACAGGGGGAACATTGCCCCGTTGCTACGAGGTGCTCCTGGGGAATGCCAGCGCTCTGTGCCGTGGGTACGCTGGCCCGGCGGAAACATTCTGCATTATGCTGGTAATACAGTGTGACACCGCGGGAACAATGGCAAATTGAGTGTCCCAGCAGGTAACGGGCCCGGCTGGGAGACAGTCGCAGCCGTGCACTGTCAAGGCGGCTCTAATCCTCTCTGGCCAACCCCTCCCCTGGTTCTGGGAACGCTCTTCCCGCATTTCATCTCTGGGAAACTCTCCCAGCTCCTCGCCCGGACCCGGGGCTGGATTTCAAGGCAAAGCGCTCGTGTTTGCAGCTCCGTCCTCCCCGCCCCGCACCACGCGTGGGCCACAGGGGGTGGGTTGCATCCCACCGCTGCCTGGCCACGGCAGCAGCGGCCCCAGCTCGGCCCCCATCCCGGCATCCATGCGGATGCACAGGCACACGGTGCCTCTCCATCCCATTCCCATCCTTTTCTCATCTCCCTCCCCGGGGTGGGAAGCAAAGGCACATGAGCAGGGAGGGCGGCTCGTGTTCTCCCCCTCTGCCCCCGAGCTGTCCTGGTCTGAGGCCAGAAGGGCTCGCTAGCTCCTCTAATCTGATCTGCTGTAGATCACAGGCCACCCAAATAGCCTTTATCAGGCTGAACCACTCTAGTTGAAGCAGGGATCTTCAACCCATAGGACCCAGTGGTCCCAGTATAAGCAGCTGGTGAAAGGTATGTAAGGAAAACTGCAGCAGGTAGAGGCTGGATCTCTGCTGGTGTTATCGGAGGTGGGAAGGGCAAAGAAGAGTGAATTAAAGTGAAACCCACAATATGGTTTTACGGGATTGAGCAGCCCTGGTTTAGGATCACGTTTGGCACCTGGATCCGAGCTCTCCGCGCTGCTGCAGAGATGTGCATTCCACAGCTGGCACATAGCCACGAGCTGCCCCTTCCGACCGCCTGCACAGGCTGAAATCAGCCAAGTCTGAGCTGCCTGCCTGTCGGGAGCTCTACCCCACCTCTGCAGCCCAGAGCAAGACCTGGTGCAGCAAAGACCTCCCCAGGGCACGAGGCAGGAGCAGCTGAGGGATGCATGGGGTGGCTGAGGGACAGTTCCTGGCTCCTGCTCTGGAAGCAGGAGATGGGCTCCAAGGTCATCGCTGGTCTGAGCCAGCAGAAAGCCCTGAATTCATCCCACATCCGCTGAGGGCTGTCTTGATCATTTGGTCAAGCTACACCCATGAAGCAGCTGGAAACATCTGCAGAGCACCCAGGGGCACCATCCACCACCAATGGTCCCCAGACACCTGCCTTCAGCACCCTCCTGCTCTCCTGCACATCGGGGATGGGCTTGGATTGACTCCGACATCTACCCTGGATGTAGAGACCTCAGGTCTCCATCTTCATAAGGTGGCACACAGGGTCAAAGCACTCTAGTGTCATCCACAAGGGTGCTGCACTTAAGAAGCCTGTGCCAAACCTGAGAGATGTCAACCAAAAGATGTCCTCAAGGAGAAACCTGAGGCTGAGACACTACTTTGGCTATGCTTGGGAGTGCCTCTATCTAGTGCAGCCTTCGTGAAGTCAACAGTCGAGCTCTGGTTGATTTCAAACTGAGGAGAAACAGTACCCCAAGAGGCTTTAAGAACACCCAAGCAGAGCTCTGTAGCTGAAGAGCCAGGTCACTGTGGCAGACCCGGAGTCACACTTCTACCTGCTGCTGCCTGTGCGCTTCAGGTGTCACCAGCAGCACCTGACCCACGTCTTTTAAAGAGTAATAAAATAGATTTTCACTTTTTAATGAAATCTAGATGAGATTTGGGTAAGGCCCTGGCACAGGGTGCCCAGAGAAGCTGTGGCTGCCCCATCCCTGGCAGTGCTCAAGGCCAGGTTGGACACAGGGGCTTGGAGCAAGCTGCTCCAGTGGAAGGGGTCCCTGCCTGTGGCAGGGGCTGGAGCTGAATGAGCTTTAAGGTCCCTTCCAACACAAACCAGGCTGGGACCCTGGGGTTCTGTGATGCTGAAGGAGGTTAGGAAGGAAAACACAAGTGTGACACTGACCGGTAATCCCATGGGCTCTATTCATTCCCAGCTACACGCGAGTCTGCCTTTGTCCACGCCATCGCATCGGCAGGGGTGGCCTTCGCCGTGACCCGCTCCTGCGCTGAGGGCACGTCCACCATCTGCGGCTGTGACTCCCATCACAAAGGACCTCCAGGAGACGGCTGGAAATGGGGGGGATGCAGCGAGGATGCCGACTTCGGTGTGCTGGTGTCCCGGGAATTCGCTGACGCCAGAGAGAACCGGCCGGACGCACGCTCGGCCATGAACAGGCACAACAACGAGGCCGGCAGGACGGTGAGTGCTCAACGGGTCCAGAGCTCGCAGCACGCCCCATGTGTGACTCCCCTTGGTGTAATGGGACCACAGGGTCCCATAACTCCAGGGTTATTTTCCAGGGCACGGCATTTCCACTCTCCCCAAACAGGCAGCCACGGGTTCAGGGCTAAAATGAGGGTGCTGAGGCACTGGCACAGGGTGCCCAGAGAAGCTGTGGCTGCCCCATCCCTGGCAGTGTTCAAGGCCAGGTTGGACACAGGGGCTTGGAGCAAGCTGCTCCAGCGGAAGGGGTCCCTGCCCGTGGCAGGGGCTGGAGCTGGATGGGCTTTAAGGTCCCTTCCAACCCAAACCAGGCTGGGATGCTACAATTGGACCTTGGGATTAGATTGGGTTGGACAGAGGATCAGAGCAGCTGCCCGAATCAGCTGTGCTTTTCCAGTGGGATGTTTCTTCCACCCCCCCCACCGAGCTCCCCACATTCACAACCAGCCCATGCTTTCCAGACCAAGCTCAGATCAGGCGTTTAAACCCCGGGAGCAAAGGCAGGTGATCACACCCTGGGCATCCCAACCTGCTGCTGACCACCTTGTTGTGTCTCCCCTGGACAGACCATCCTGGACCACATGCACCTCAAGTGCAAGTGCCACGGTCTCTCGGGAAGCTGCGAGGTGAAGACGTGCTGGTGGGCCCAGCCTGATTTCCGGGCTATCGGGGACTACCTGAAGGACAAATACGACAGCGCCTCCGAGATGGTGGTGGAAAAGCACCGCGAGTCTCGGGGCTGGGTCGAAACTCTGAGGGCCAAGTACGCTCTTTTCAAGCCACCGACAGAGCGGGATCTGGTCTACTATGAGAACTCCCCCAATTTCTGTGAGCCCAACCCCGAGACGGGCTCCTTTGGGACAAGGGACAGAACATGCAACGTCACCTCCCACGGCATCGACGGCTGCGACCTGCTGTGCTGCGGTCGCGGCCACAACACCAGGACTGAGAAACGGAAGGAGAAGTGTCACTGCATCTTCCACTGGTGCTGCTACGTGAGCTGCCAGGAGTGCATACGTGTCTATGATGTCCACACCTGCAAGTAAACATAGGTAGGTCTCCAGCTGATGGGAGGTTGCTCCAGAGCAGGGCCATGGGGTCCGTCAACCCTGTGAGCAGCCCCCATGTGCTGGCCTCATGCTTCAGAGGATGGCATTAACAAACCCTAATGCCCTGGGCCGGGGCAGGCACCCTCACACAGCCAGCACCAGCGCTGCAGAGGGGGCTCTCAGCATCTCACCCACACAAGGCAGCCCAAAGTAAGACCTGGTGCTGCAGATGAGCTCCGTCACTGATCCGCTGCCTTCTCGTGTGCTGTTTGGCATGACGGACTAACCGGGGAGAAGCAGGGACAGCGAAAGCTGAAGTGAGGCACAGCCACACTAGCCAGCGTGCTGCTGACACAGCATGCAAATCTTCCAGCTCTGTCCTCCTCCGGAGGTCAGGCCCACATAGATGCTAATCCAAGGAGTTCAGGTGGAAATGAGTTTTACACAGTGAGAGTTGAACAACTCAAGGCTCCCCTGCCCGCTGGCATGGCCATCCTGGTCTCAGCAGATGCGGTAAGGAGGAGGAAAGGAGCCAATTCCCCTCAGCAGGCAGGCTCCTTCCTTCCTGCTCCAAGGAGATGATGTCAGAGAAACCTGTCTGAGCCTTACAGCCAGCCTCTCCTTTCACCTCCCCTTTGCCCTTACTAATTCCCACAGCCCCAGATCATGTCCTATAATCTCCCCGAGGAGGACAGCAGGAAAGCAGAGCCCAGAGCTGATCCTCTGGCACGTGGGCAGGGTAAGAGCAGAGTGCACATCACTACTCCAACAGCCTCCTTGCCATGCAGCTGCCCAAGGGAGGCTGTGAAGGACCCAGGCAGATCCACCCAGATGACGCACCCCTTTACTAAGCATTCCCTAATATGACTTTATACCCCAGAGCAAGCTCAGAGCATCTCCCCAGGCACAGGGTGAGCTGCTACAACCAGCTCTGAACATCAGTAATGATGGGGAGACAGAAACTATGGCAAGAAAGTGCTGTCCAAGCCTTTTCCTCAGCCTTCCCCCACCAGGCAAACCGGTTCAAACCATTTCATCCAGCAAAGAGAGGTAAAGGCAGATGGAAAAGTCAACATTTACTCAACAGCACAACCCCAGGCAGGACCTTTCCTTCCCATAGCGGTTTGGGAGTTATCAGCAAATCATGAGGGGTCCTCACCAAGCGCAGATGCTACGTTACCACTAGCAGGGATTTGGGCCCCAAGAGTGGCCACACACATCCCATGACCCATCTCAGTGCAGAGGAATCAGCATTTGTCCCTCCACCTGCTCCCCAGGCCCTATCCCCCCTTCTTGACCACACGCCCCTTCATTTTGGGCTTGTTTTCATGGTATATTGACCCTAGAAATTAAAAAAATACGTATTATCTGTGTCCTGGTGGGCTCCTCTGCAGCCAATGAGGACCAATAACCATGTTCCAACACCATTTCTCAAGCATCAGTGATTTAACACAGAGATATGTCCCAACCATGAAAGCTGTGTTTTCTACTCCACTCTCTTCTTCATCCATGGGGAACAGCAGTATGCAGTACTGCACAGAGCAATAAAACGGGTGGAAGACCCCTCTCACCTGGAGTGCCAAGACCCCTCCATGGCCTTGGCACTCAAACCTGTGGCTGGAGAGAACGAGAGCACAATTCTCAGTCCACCCTCTGTAGAGCATGATGAGGAGCTCCTGGATCCACCCAGCAGGAAAAGCATCAGCTTTCTAAATTTACAGATCCCAGGAGAGCTCTAAGGCACCTCCCAGTTCAGAAATAAGCCCTCTTCCAATATGGAATCCTGTGTCTGGAAAGACTCCAAGTACCTGACTTTAAAGAAAATCCCTTCTTTGGTTGTTTGTTTTTTTTTTAATCAAGAAAAGGTATTTAATATTAAATAGAACATTTATTGCCTTGTAATGATTTTACTGTAGCCAGGTATTCTAGCACTGAATGGAAGACCTTTTTTCCATCAATTTGCTGTATCCAAAGTTTTGTATAAAGTTGTAGAGGTCGATTTTTTTTATTTTATATTCAGAAAATGTCTCTTTTTATAAGCATTATTTATTATACAATGTATATACTTGAGTTAACTAAGATTATATATTATATAAATATATATATTTGGAGAAAAATCTATTTCAACTTGCTTTTTTTTTTGTGCTACGTCATTAAAGAGAAGGTAAAAAACCAAAAACATGCACTTGCCAGCTTGTGTGGTTTGCCTCTGAAGGTCCTTTAAGTCCTGCTGAAGAACAGCTATGGGAACAGTGGTTCTTCATCTAGCCTCTTATGCACAGCCATATGAATGCAAGCCAATGATGGTAAAATATAGCAAATAGTGTTCAGCTGTAAAATCTCCTCTAAGTGTGCCTAAAACATGAGATTACTGGATTAAAACAGACTTCAGACTCCATACTCACCCCCATCAATGCTCTTTCAAGCTGTCACTGAATCACCTTTTGATGGTTTAGACCACTGAAGATCCAAGTTTTCTCCTGTTCATGAATAATTCTGTGGGGGTTTCTGCAACACCTCCCATACATTAACGATGCCATTAAGTGCACACAATTTTACACACATCTGGCCTCAAATATACCTATCCAAAGGACACAAAAATAACAAAATTGTTCTCTTTTCCTGCACTGATCCCAAATTTATACACAATTACATCTGCCTTCTGGCAGAGTGCTGCCTGAAACATGGTGCTGCTTTGTGTGTGAATGATGCCCCAGCTCCGTTTGACTGTGTCACATCGCATACAGCATTGGAAACAGACTGGTTTGTGTTGGAAGGGAGCTTAAAGCCCATTCAGTTCCAACCCCCTGCCACAGGCAGGGACACCTTCCACTAGAGCAGCTTGCTCCAAGCCCCTGTGTCCACCCTGGCCTTGAACACTGCCAGGGATGGGGCAGCCACATGCTTCTACCTGGGCCATCTCCTGCTGGGTGGCAGCAGCAATGCCTTCAAAGCTACACAAACACCACCACCGTGTCACCAACAAACCAGACAACCAAAAAGTGCAGCCTCATGGAGTGTTTTGAGCTTAACAGCACTGTGATTGCAAGCTATCTGTATGTCTGCCCACCATCCCAAGCTATTCTCCACCACACTACGCCCCAAACCCCATCCCAACACTTTGAAATACGTTTGCCTTTGGTTAACAAAGCTAACTCAGAGACAGTTACATTTCTGGAAAGTTCAGGAAAAGGCAGTAACAGGGAAAAGAAGGGGAAGAATTTGGCCATTACTGTTTAAAGCAATACAGTTCTCACCATAAAACCACTCTTGCCCAGGTAGTAGGGAAAAAGTGGTGGAAAAATGCTGCCAGGAGACATTCTCTTCTGCCACCTGCAGGAAACACTTTGGATGGAGATCTCAGAATAGGCTGGAATAGGTGGAATGCCACACCCAGCATTTTGCCCTGTTTTTTTCAACACGGCCTTCTTCAAGTGTGATACCCCTGCACACACATGCATGAATCTCTGGGGCTTCTTCATCACTGCAAGGCCCAGAAAACTCTAGGATGGGTTGGACCAGAGGTCTTCTCAGCCAATTCCTTTAAGACTACCTGTGGTCAAGCTGTCCAGGCTGGGAATATCTATTCAATCCACCCATGCTTAGGTACAAACTGAGCATCCCTCTGGCTATCAGCAGCCTGAGAATAGTTTTGCTGTCCTCAAGCCATACATGAGCATTCCATATATACACCTCTGTTCAACGAGCACCAAAGACACAGATGTCTCCTAGATCATCACAAGTTGTTGTGCTTTTTATTGAATCCACTGAATGTGCAATTAAACCAGGTATTTATTCATCAATATAGTTCTGGACAAAGACACAATAAGGTTTACATCATTTTCTCTGAAATATAAGTTAATGTGTGCTGCTGTCACTAGGACTAGCAGAGGAAAGAAAGGAACAAATAAATTCACAAGATCATACACAAAATGAAAGGGAATAATAACCACTGGGACTCGCCATGTCATCACAATACAACAGCACTGCCAAAGGAAAAGAAAGCAGAGTGGAGTGACTAAAATACTCCAGCTGCTGTAAGTGTGCACTAAGGACTACAGTACCGTCACCTTTGGGGCTGAAAGAACGTGAAGCACCCTCTTTCCCTGGGAACACCACTTTGGGTACAAGCTGCTAACCCTTAGCAGCGTGTCTGGTCAAGTTTAGGAAGCTACAATGACTAAGATCCCATAAATGGCTTTGATTTCATGCCCCACCAAATTGAGGTATGTTCCATAAACCTTATTAAACATGTGGAGCCAAAGAACCAGAGGGGAGTAGCCTCATACAGTCATCATCAACAGCATCCCATTGACGTGAGATGACTACTGGGGAAGGACCACGTAGCAAAGTTTGATACATTCCTTAATTTCAGTGCAAAATCATGGCAATACGTTATCTCGTGCATCTGCAGGGCTTAGCTTCCTCTCTGTCTCTAAGGAGGAATTGCAGCTTTGGTAGCATGGCCAGAAAATGAGATATAATGAGGCTGGCTAATACGAAAGCTGCCATCTACACTGCACTCATGAAGAGCTGTCAGGCTGGAATCAGCATCTCTGAAGCTGTCAAATTAACAACGAGCTTTGATGCCTTCAATACTGGATCTGGAAGTTTCTTCTACTCTGATCAACATACTTCCCTGCCTTTTTCCAGGCCCTAATGCCACTAGCCAGTCTCTCTCATAGGGCCACAAAATACCCAAATATAAAAGAAAGCAGGTATCAGCGTTTAGGCAATTCTGGAATTGAATTACTATGGGCACTGTTTTTAGGTAATCAGCCTGGCTCAGTGTTCAATGAGGCATAGTATGACATAACATCAGATCAGGATAGAGTCTTCACCACAGACTGTCAGGTTTTATTAGAGGTCAAGAGTTTTTCCTATAGGAGCAACTGGATGCTGGACACAAGTGAGCATTAGCTTCAAAACTTACAGGGCAATTCCCTCATGCTCAAACCAAATGAGAATGCAGCCTTGCCTGCACAGAGACAGAAGCACAGTGTTCTAGGAGACACTTCCACATGATATGAGGATATTAAAGACAAAGAATAAAGATACTGTATTGCACTAAACATGCAGATTCCACATTGGGTTCTTGGAAACAGGGGAGCATTTCAGTTTGTCCAGTATGTGCAACACAGAAGAGTAAAGAGCCCAGTGTGTATTCTCCAGGTTGGTCACTTTTCCAGCTGCTGATCTTGCACTTGGTCCACCTTCAGTCTAGGCAAGGAACTCTTGCAAAAGAAGCCAAACCCGTCAAGAAAGCATGCACATGTATGAAAGCATCAAGCACACACTGGAACCCACTCACATGGAGCCAGGATAGATACTGGTGTGTTTCCCCAGCACAGGTACTGCCCTACAGGTATTAGTCATTTTCTAGGAGATGCCACTGTCAAGACTGGGC